GTTTTCCATGAATATTTTGCTGTTTTCCATGAGTATTTTTGCTGTTTTCCATGAATATTTTGCTGTTTTCCATGAGTATTTTTGCATTTTTCCATGAGTATCTTTATCTGTTTTCCATGAGTATTTTTGCTGTTTTCCATGAGTATTTTTGCTGTTTTCCATGAGTATTTTGCTTTTTCCATGAAAATTTTGCTGTTTTCCATGAGTATTTTTGCTGTTTTCCATGAGTATTTTTGCTGTTTTCCATGAGTATTTTTTCTGTTTTCTATGAGTATTTTTGCTGTTTTCCATGAGTATTCTGCTTTTTTCCATGAATATTTTGCTGTTTTCCATGAGTATTTTGCTCTTTCCACGAGTATTTTGCTGTTTTCCATGAGTAATTTCCTGTTTTCATGAGTATTATGCTGTTTTCAAGAGTATTTTATCTGTTTTCCATTTTGCTGTTTTCCATGAGTATTTTGCTGTTTTCTATGAGTATTTTGCTGTTTTCCATGAGTATTTTGCTAAACAAAATACCTAAAATTAAAAACAAACTTTGAGATAAATTAAATTAAACCTCTTCTTTTGTCAATGTTATATATTACAGCACTGGTCCTCAGTTCTTAAGGCCACCATCCTGCATGTTTTACAGGTTCTCTTCTCTTCGGCATTCTTCAGGTTCTGCAGAAGCCTGCTAATTTCATTTATTTAAATCAGGTGTTGAATCGGAGAAACGCTAATAACATGCAGGTCAGTGATCCTTCAGGACCAGGGTTGGGGACCATTGGTCTTTAGGCTTCATGCCCAAAGACTTTTTTTAGCACAAATGCTTTGTCCTCATGAATCCTAAACATTGTGCAAAGCTGATTTGACAGGCCTACAACCACACCAAGAGCAATTTTCCATGACTGCCAGCAAACACAACATTCTAATTGGTCTTTCTTTTCAGCGCTAATAGCAACAGAATACAAATCACATTTCTGTTTAAACATTAAACTGTGGAGTTTTTACTTTAGTATTAATCAAAGTACACAGACACTGACAGCTTGGAGGGGTTCATTCAACCATTCATGTTTGGGACATTCTTGGATGTAGAGAAAAAGAAATGAAGGAAAACAAAAGAAGTTTCTTTAAAAAGTTAAAGTGATCATCAAAAGTGGTCAAAATCATTTAGAATAAATCCAAACACTGATTTAAAGTTGGTGGAATAATCAAAAGGCTGAATATTGACATGGCATATTGAAATAAGACAATACTTTACTACTTTTTAAATCACTAACATAAATGTTAAAGGCCAATATTGCAAAATTATAAGAGCAGAATAAAAATCTGCACATCATGGTTTTGCATTCTGCAAGGAGCACCTTCAAACTGTAAACAAGGATAAAACTAAAATATGATGCAAACATTGGATTTAGTGTTGAATCAACAAGTTTAACTTGTTAAAAAATAAAAAGCTCTTGATATTTTTATGCAGCTTGTAAGGAAGCCTGCCCCCTCCCGCACTGCCCAACCACCCCCCACCCCCACCCCCGCGCGTGCGTTCACAAAGACGCAGCAGCCTCTCCGCGCCTCCCTCTCCACCTTCCTTCCCTCTGAATGCGAGCAGCTGCAACTTTTTGTCGGCGCGCAGCTGCTGGTGGTTCCTCCTCTGGCGCGAGCTGGATGTCACTTCAAGTCAAGAGAGGGCGGCTGGATGATGTCATTTCCTTCGTGAAGGGTGCCTAAAAAAACAATACATAAATAAATTAATTAATTCTCCCGCTCGGATTTGCGCAAACTTTTCCAGATACGCCCGAAATAATGGCACGCGAGGCGGGGACGGGGACTTGGATGTGCCCCGCTCTTTCCCGGGAAGTCACGGTTTTCACCAGAGCCTAGCTGGATTCGGTGTTGGGGGGAGAGCAGGACAAACTCTTGCGTGATTTTCTTCCTATTCTTTCTTTTTCTCTCTCTCCTTCTCTCGTGTCGGAGGAGGTGGAGGTGTGAAGCTCGGTGGCGGCAGCAGGATGTGGTCGCTGTCCGTGGTGCTGAACCCGCTGCTCTTCCTGCTGCTGTTCGGATCCTGCCCGACTGTGGTGAGTTTCCACTCCGTTTCAACCCTAAAAAAAACTTCAAGCTTGTTGGATGTTGGGCTGATTTGGTGATTTGATGTGGATTTATTTGAGTGGTGCGTTTCTATTACTCATTTCTCCCCATTAAGTCGCGGATGAGTCATTTCAGTTTCCTGTAATTATTGCACAACTGCCTGATTCTTTGCCATTGTTGCTGTCACCTGTGCACAGATATTCATTCTCAGGCAGGCTAAAAGTCATTTTAAATACAAATAGATGGTTTTGTGTTATTTAAATGTAAGATTTGGGTTGATCCATCTTCATAGCAATGATATTAATTCACTTTTAGAGGAAAGTTTTGTGGGTTTTGTTGGGATTTGGTGTGAATTACGTATGAGAAAAGCAGCTACACTAAACATTAAGATGTTTTTTTTTTTCAGTTTTGCAATCTTTTTTCAGGAAATGTAAGTTTAATGTCTCACAAACTAAAAGGAGCAGCTTGCTGATCACCAAGAACATTGGTCGATTAGGTTAGTCCCACCCATGCAGCGAGTGCCTTGATTGCAAAGCAGTTTCCCCCTTTTTTATTTTCTTTTTCTTGCCATGACTGGAATTAGCTACAAGAAATATTTTAAGAAATGTTGCTCAGACGGAGAGATCTGAAGGCCTAAATTAAAGAAGAAAGAAAAGGAACCAGATGTTTAATGAGTGGGAGGAAAAACTCCTCGCAAACAAAAAGAAAAGTGGGGAAGTGCATCTGGTTTGGCTGAGCCAGAATCCCTCTAATATGAGGAAATGTGGGGGTGAGAGAAGGATGTGCATCACTCAAGGGACAGAAAGGGACCTTTTTAAAAGATTTGTGGAACTAGATTCTGTTTAGAAGTCTTTCAAAGCAAAACTCTGAAAAGATGAGGATTTTCTGTCCTTCCTACTTCTTATTCAAATGCCAGAATTAAATAAAATATAATTAAAGTCCACTACCACAATTAGATTTTAAAATGTTTTCCCAAACAACATTAATGTGCACTAATGAGCTCTAGTTGTCTTTCTTTGGTTGGAATCAGGATCTAACCTCATATTTTCTTGAGCCATTGTTCATTTTTCTTACATTAACTCGTGGATTTTGAGGTTGTTTTCTAGTGCAAAGTGGCAAAAAGCAGCTTTTCTGTGGGTGAAGCTGATGAGTCAGCGGTTGAGCTGTCTACAGACAGTGAAGTTTTTCAACTGCTCAGAGGAGACATGATCTTTGGCGGCCGCAGCCAAAACCTCTTTAAACGCTCGGGCTGGCAGGAGAGAGGGAATAATGCTGCTCTGCGAAAAGGCTTCGCGTTTTAGAGCCGTACGGTTCAGATTGTCCACACACCTCCCATCCTGTTCTACCTCCAGGTTTTGTTTTATGACATGGAGCAAAATCATCCCCAAAAAAATAATAAAATGTTTGGCGAAAAGGCTGATAATATAGTGAAATGAGCTGTTAAAGTTAATTTCCCATACTGACAGTAAACATCGATATTCTGTATATACACGCATGTTCACAACCGCTCACAGACAGGTGTTCTGATCCAGGGGGTCTGTGTGTGTATACTGTCAAGATTTATGAATGTAGGCATGTATGTATGTAAATCTTTATATATGTATGGGTATGTGTATATATTTATATATGTATGGGTATGTGTATATATTTATATATGCCCTCCATGTATTTATCCATGTATTTTTCAGGTGAGCGGACAGATGTTGGGTGTGTGGTCCTGTGTTTTGTTGGTGTATATTTAATATACTTCTAATCGCTATTTCARTCTTTCTATCTTTCTAATTACTTCTCTCTCTGTTTTTCTCTCTGTCTCTATTTTCTCTTCACTTAAAAAAAGTCACTGATGATGAAGAAATAAATAAACTGAATAAACTAATATTTGGTTTCRTTTTCTACTGAAGTGACAAAAAACATCGATATTCTGAGCAATCCTTGTGTGTTTAGTTTTCCACTTGGATCATTTTGTTGTTTTGACTCAGAAATCTTTCTTATTGAGAATAACTTTTTTTAAAAATAAGATTTACTTTTTCCTCTCGGATGCGTGCTTGATCGGGGGAAATAAAACCATGAATCAGGTTCATCAGTTTCTCCCTGCAGATTTTTTATTTTTTGTCTCAGTCTCTGAAACTGAGGAGAAATGTCAACAGTTGGGATATTCATCAAGGCCAGAAAACACTGTTTATTGTTGAAAAGGCTATTCACTGGAGACCAAACACTGAGAACAGAAGAATTTCTAACAACAGAAGCACTTTGTTGATTTAAAACCGAGACATTTTGTAAGTCTGTGAGACTGGTTGGTGTCAGAGTTTTAAAGAAAAATGGACAACTCCATGGGGAAAACAAGTATCAAAAGCTGAACAAATCTCGTGCTGCATGTTTATCAAAGACATAAAATGAGTGTTTAGTTCATTTGTGTCCATGGAAATGTGCGTTCACACAGTGTGTTTGTGTGCAGACCATCAGGCCGAAGGAGGGCTGGCAGGTGTACAGCTCAGCTCAGGATGCAGATGGGCGCTGTATCTGCACTGTGGTGGCACCCGAACAGAATCTCTGCTCCAGAGATGCCAAAGGCAGACAGCTCCGCCAGCTACTGGAAAAGGCACGTGTGCACACACACACACACACCCACACACACACACACACACACACACACACACACACACAC